AAAGGGTTGTGGACATGCTCTTTCAAGGAAACCTGATGAACAGGAGATTGTAAGAGGGAAGAGTCAGCAATGACAACGCGATCACGTAGCATAGATCAGGCTTAACAACCAGTTCTATATCTTTTTCATTATGTCTGCAAGGCCTGCATGAGTCTTGGCTGGTTTACTGGCAAAGTGGCCCTTGCAGGGTCGTTTTGGAAAAGGACGTTCTTTCATGGACTATTTTCCACTTTCCCAGGTGGTTCAACCGAATGCTGGGACTGGCCTTTTCTCAACAAGTCCTCCAAAAGGCATGAAATAAGTAATATGAAATGTATTCATCCAATTTCGTTTAAGTTGTTGAAGGAGGAGAATTTTCCCACAATGATATGAGTACAGCTGACGTTTCCATTCAATTTCACATAACCTTGCTTTCCTAAAAATTGTTTCAACCGAGGATGGAGCTTAAACTAAATAGTGTGAATACATCTCATATTACTGAAACGCTACTTAAATAGGAAAAATTAAATAAGCAATTTTCATTCATGGCAGGACCGCTGAATGGTCAGCACGGATAAATCGGTTCATCCAGACGATGAAGTGACCTCGATTTCTGGGCTCCAAATACCGGTCACAGCTTCCAAACAATTTTCCTCCGGTTTCCGGAGCGGCTGTGTGAGGCTATTTCACAATTTCCTACGTTTACCAGCTTCGTGGCCGCCCCGAAAGCGGCTTTACTTGCGAGCCCCTTCTCGATCTGTACCTGGTGTTTAAAACTGATTTCGCATCACAAATATCTCTTTTCATCAGCAACCCGCATCGCCCAACTAAAGCTGGTTTCAAGGGCGGATTAGTCTGTTCCACTGTTCATCAGGCTTTCGAGCTGGTATGATCGGGTGCTTGCTGTTTTCAGTACCGGCAAACATCCGATCCCGGTCTACTTTTAGCCGGTTTCGTTGCTCCTTCTCTGTGCCACGAAAAGCTTGCAGAGCGGGAACTCTCCCTCGAGAAAGCCAAAGGGTACCTCAAGACGGCGTTTTTGGATCAATTTATGCTAGCAACTAAAACTCTCATCCTCCCCCGGCATGGCAACCGAGGTTGGAACAGGCCTAAATGGCACGACGACGTTTCCCACCGGATGACCCTTCGTTTATGTCATGAGTGTGTTCTACATTTATTTGTGCAACTTTTACATTTTCGAATTAGGCCTGGCTTCCACTGCCCCCAGCAATGTCCACCCGATCTGTCCCCACTTGCAGATCCCTTTGCGTCCCCACGGCTCATGCACTTTTGCGAGCTGATACGAAATTTAGGCAAATTGACATGCTATGTGGGACGGCAAAGCTATGCCGGGGCAGACTTGTTTATTGTCTCGATGGCTAAACAATGATCACCAATCAAGCTCTCCAGTCCTTGGCCATCTTTGATCGCAATTGCTTGGCCCAACAGAGTCGCATGGCCCTACCCTACCATGGAAAAGCGTCTCGTCAGGCCGTCATGAGAGCTAAACTAATAAATGCACGTCAAAAATATGGAGACAATGTATAAGTTTATGCAATTTTGCTGACTGTCATTCTGCATAATTCTACATCACGTTTTGATGACTGGGAAGATTTGCACATGAGTTACACTCAACCCAATCGCCTCCAAATTGGCGTTGGATATTGCCAAATGATTTGACAGTCAGGAGGCGCTTTATGTCAGACTTACATAGAAAAAGAGTATATGGCCGGTGGATATGTGAAGAGTAACT